CCCCCCCGTGCAATGCGAAAATGCTACCTGAGGTAAGCTGGGCCTAGACCTGATGTAGGCTTGATAAGCACGGGCAGTTGAGTACTTAACATTCGACATCCACTCAGGGCTGGTGAACGCCTTGCCAGTGTGTGCGTGATAAACACTAGTTTCGGCGATGCATGTGACACCATTTCGACTCGTTTGGTACCTCACCTTTGTGGTAGGGACGACGGATCGATCAGGCATGGCCAAGGTCCCCAGAATTTCTTCAGCAGCGCATAAACTCCAACACCTTGTGCAGTTGCAGCAAGCAGTAGGCAGCACCAGGTGGAAGAAAAAACAACAACGGGAATAAGACCGCCACCAATTTTATTTCAGGCTGAACTTCCGTGATATCCTTGGGGCTTTTCACTCTACGCTGGAAGTTGTAGATATGTAGGCGCAAGGTTGCTCGTCGGACTCTCTACCCTGTGCCACCAACCTAACGTCACCCAAGTTACCAAACCCCCTGGGTCTGTGTTTCCAAGTTCGAATACTCTTGAACGAACAGGATGTCACATACAGTCACATGGTGATTTTCAGAAAACTTTTGACCAGATGGTTCCAGCACCGTCGTTTATTGGTACTATGCTGTTGTTCTGCAGTGCTATCGAGCTTTTCAATAAAATCGGTGCAAGGGGGTGTGTTATATTGTGCGACGTATGGCATAAAACTTTCACCAAATGAGGGAGGGTATTTGTAGCTTTTTTCTATTGACAAGATAATCAGCAACGCTTCATCTGGCGTCGTGAAGGTGCACGTTTTGAACAGGTAGACAAGACATATTAGTACTGCTGTACAAAAGCCCGTAGAAAAGGACGGTTCCCTCTACAGCCCACAGCATTACAGCAGTAGAACGGGGCAACTGCTGTTCGTTCCCCCACCATTCTTGTTTGTTTTCTCCAATGAGCGCTGAAAGGTAGAGGTGGCAAGGCTAGCGAAGTGGAGAGGGACTTTGGTGAGCTGTAAAATGAACGCAACATACATAGCAAGCAATGTGTCTTGTGAGTTTCAAAGCAAGCGTCTTTGTAACACGGCAGGCTACTGCTGCTGCTGTGTAGAATAGTTACAATGTACGATGTTGTCGGCGAGAGCACTTTTCCCACATGATGATGGAGAACAGCAGTAGAAAATTTACGCCCACATCAGCTCACATTGACCATGCCAGCCCCAATACCACGGTGACCAATCTTTTCCATGGCGAGATCCTTTCCATGGCTGTATTTTCTCTGTTCCCTCTCGTTATGATGCCCTGTGTCAAGCACCAACCCAAAGCGCCGGACCACAGCACCACACCACAGCAGTCCGGCCGCGCGTTCCACCTCCGTGCAGAGACCCCCTTGATATCACGGGGCCCCTCCCTCGCGTGCACTCGCTTGTGTCTCACTCTGCACGCGTGCTGCCGCCCACAAGACAACTACACAACCAAGGGCAACGGCGCAAGGGAAGCTACGGAGAAGACATAACCCTGGCATTCGCGGCTACGCGTTCGGGCCAGCAAAGGTAAGGCAAATGTCGTTCGTGTTTGTTTGTTATGTGCTCACACATTGTATTGTAGCAAAAATCAAGCCTAAAAAAAAAATCAAGCCAACCAACCTCTCTGGCTTCCTGCACGTTTAGGAACATCACGATAGCAGCAATCACACAGACCACAGCGGATTTCGCACGACCCACGTATCCCAGAATTCCCCAGGGAGATGGAAGTTAAGTAAGACGAACGTGGTCTGTCTAGATTCAGTTTTGAAGCTTGTGCCGCCGTTGCTGCGCTGTTTAGGTCGTCAACTTCTTCTGCTTCATGCGACGCTTGTGCGGTAGAACGGAGATGAAAGTTAGAGGTGATTTATGCACAGCAGTGCTTGCACACCAGTACACGATAGTCGAAGACTACGCCTCTGTTTTACACATCGTTCACCTGTATTACCAGCTGCTACAGCAGTTACACCGACGGACAGTGCTAGACTTCTACCCGTATGCATATCGTCGCACACTATGATAGTACTTCGTTATGTTCGTGACCTGCGTAGATCTCGTAGATCTTTGAAGATTTCCTCAGCGCCTTGCTGCTGCTTCCGCTTCTGCTGCTGCTGCAACAGAGCTGTAACCAGAAGGACTCAATCGAGAAGAGCATGAAATGTGTCAACGCGGCGACTCTCCTCTTCCACTTGTCTCTTGCATAAAGAGCGTCAGGCATGTGATTTGATCCGACTTTTTTCCCGACTTGTTCAAGAACTTGGCGCATAGCTACAACCAAATCTGCGCCCCCGTGTCCCATGTACCCATCTTCGTGCTTCGTATGTACCGTGTGCTCCCTGGGCGGCAAAACAACACAACACAGCAGACCATCACCTGATCCCCCTTCACAAGGCGGTCGCCCCCACCGGTCCCGGCATGGCGGAGACTGGGGCTGATGACGACGAGACGCTCGGCGCCTGGGCCCTGCGCTACCGCGGCGTCGCCACGTTCGGCGCGTTGGCGTTGCTCCTGGGCACCGGAAAGTTCGTGGGTTTCCACTGGCACCGGCTGGCGTTCCTGCGGCGGTTCGTCGTGCCCCCCGCCGTGATCTCGGGCCTACTGGGCTGTGTGGTGTACCGGCTGTTCAAAGGGGTCATGTCGCCGGGAGTGAAGTCGTCACTCGACGAGAGCTTGAGCGAGGTGGGGCATGTACGACAGCTTGGCCTGTGGGCGGGCACCCAAGCTGGTGGTGGTGGCAACGCGTGTCGCGACGCTGTCGATTGTTTGGGCCTGGAAGAACATACGTGTCATGTTCTACAAAGCAGTTGTGGTTGTTGTCAGCACGGAGGCTAGTTTATTCGCTGGTGGCGGGTCGACCCCAGTTTTTGTGCTCCCAGCTCCGTCCGCCCGCCCCCTGTCTTCGGCCAAGTGAAATAATCTGTAATTTGCTATTTCTTTCATCCCCCCGTCCCCCCGAACAACCTGTTTACACCATAACTGCAGGTGGTGGTGTTGATGATCAACTTCACCTTCTCCGCGCTCACGCTGGGCTTCGCAAGCGCGGGGACCTACGTCCCCAGGACCCGGGCGGTGCTGGCCTCCATCTGGCACGAGGCCCTGCCCATGCTGGTGTACAGCCAGGTCCTCATCTGGGGACAGTCGTGCGTGGCCCTGCTGACGGTCGGCCTCATCCGCCTGGGAAACCCTGACGTATCGGTCTTCCTCGGCGCTCTGATTACCATGGGCCTGGAGACGGGGCGCGACGTGATGTCGTTCTCGACGAGGGAGATTGCGGGGGAATGGGCTGACGAGGTGAGCCTGGTGTGGTGTCGGGACGTAGAGGTACGTGGGCGTCTCGATTGGTCGGGAAGCAAGGGGCCAGAGGGGGGGACGTGCGTTGCCTTTGGAAGCAGGAAGTTCCACATATTCTTTTTCCTCTGGTCCAGTTTGTACGAGGATAGAGTACGCATCCGATCCCTTTTTCTCCTTCGTTCTTGGGTACCACCATGTGGGCCGGGGTTACCGATTGGCAACTATGGCCGACGAGAAAAGAACCGGTGTAAGGATAGCCCTTGTGTCTCCTGTTTGCTGACCGTCTCTGTGCAATACGGAGAGTATGGGTCCAGCAGCTCTCGTGTTGAGTGTCGAGAACCTCCGCGACCTGATTCCAGCGGGGCAATATTGTAAAAGAAGAAACGTTACAACCTCTTCGTCCCCGGTCCCCGGCCTTCGCCCCGAGTGTTTGGAAGCCTGTTCCCCCCCTGATCGACCCCCATGCTTATGCAACTAATTCATCTAGCCTACCTCCGCCCCTCCTTTTTCTCTGGGCTTTGTGACGTGAAGGTGGTCCGTCTTGCCGACTCCTTGGGCTTGCTCCTGTCAGTGTTTGGAGGCATTTGCCTCATGACGATGCACATGGGAAGCTGGGGTCCGACCGGAGCAAGGTGAGAAAGGGGAGGGGAGGGGAGGGGGGTGTACTCATAGTCGTGCATGCCGTAGTCGTTAGACCATTGACCTCGCATCCCTACAAAGCCGGGACGGAGCACGCCGGGTTCTCACCGGACCAGGCTCGCACATCACCAAGCGCGAAGCGCCGTGAGATATTCGGCGAGTCGCATGAAGGGTGCGCTGCATCCTGCTAAGGGTGTTCGGCATCTTGTGCTTACTTCCTTGCGTACGGATGACAGCTGCGTATGAATTAATTTATTTTCTGGTGCTTTCACTTCCAGAGACAGTTGTAAGCACTGTGTAACTGCCTCGAGGGTGCTTGACCATTTTAACACAACGTGGTGCGATCATCCCCCTTGCGCGGAGTGAGGGTTCACCCCGCACAACATGATCTACTCAACCATCATTATGGTTACCGCCCAAAAAAAATAAACGGAGGAAAAAAAAAAAAACGGTAACCTGGTTGCCGAGTTCACGAAGTGAATTGGCTTGTTTTACAACGTCGTTGCCAAGCGACGAAAACCCAATCCCGATAGGCAAACACCGGGGGGGGGGGGGTGTACTCATAGTCGTGCATGCCGTAGTCGTTAGACCATTGACCTCGCATCCCTACAAAGCCGGGACGGAGCACGCCGGGTTCTCACCGGACCAGGCTCTCACATCACCAAGCGCAAAGCGCCGTGAGGTATTCGGCGAGTGTCATGAAGGGTGCGCTGCATCCTGC